TTATTTTTAAGGTATGATGTGATTTGTAGGTTGAAAGTACTGAATGTCTTTACACATTTTTTAAACTATATAGCCAGCTATGTTAAAGGGAAGTTATATTTTGTTTAACCCACAACATCTGGCCCTGAATTCTTTATTTTTTTATAGTAAAATTTCATGGGATTTCATGTCACATGATTAACTGGGCAACCAGGAGTGGTTCATGGGTTCACTTTGAGATCAACACCCCCTAGTGGTGAACCATCGGAGTTTCGAAACGTTTCGAAAAAAATGGCGTGACCTGGCCGGTTTGATACGCGCTCCGAAACACTGATTTGAAACAAAAGATTTACAAATGTTTAGAAGCTTCATGAAGCAGTGTTTTGAACGCGCCCATAACTAGATTGTAGAGCGTCAGTGAATGAAATGTCACAGTTTTGAAAACGTCAATGGGTAGCCTAGATTTATGCTTTCAGTTTGAATAGAAATCGTATAAAGTACAGTTTGTCGATCTAAAATGGTAATTGTGCATTAACTGTCAACCATGTCGGTACGCAAACGCGCGCTCTGAACTAATTTACACAGCGCATTTCTTATTTTGGTCGCACATGCGGACCTGCGGACCACTTATGTGCACCCCTGTATATATATATATACTAGTTTCAATAAAACAGAACCAAACATGTATAAAACAGCTTAAACAGTTTTAAGAGTTTTTGTTGCATTTACACAGTTTTGACCAGCAGGTGTCACCAGCGCGTTGTGTTTCACGCACTTTGAAGCAATGAATCATTTATCTACTTTGGAAATAATTTTACAATTATTATTCTGCCCATTACATTTTAAGTATTTATTTTCAGTAAGCTGAATCTGAATTCAAAACATCAAATGTCATTGAGAATAAAGATTTTCTCATCCTGCATGTACAGTATGTTCTTGAAGGGTTGGCAGGGGAGCTCCAGTAATCCTCTCAGCAGTCCAGACTGACCTTTCTTTTTATACTGTATGTAAACATACATACCACAGAAGAGGATAACAACCATACAGAGGATAACAACCAACC